AAAAACATTGGTGTATATTTTGAATTAAAGTAAACAGACTAGGTCTGTAATTGTGATTTTCAATCTTATAATTACTCTTACTGTAAACTGCACTAAATGCATCAGTAAATGATAAAAATTTTGTTATCAACTGCGAATGATATGTGCTATGGTAGAACATTCCTGTTCTAGCATAATCTTATAAAATTTAGCTCCTAATCTCCATATATTACGTCTTCCTATGGGCAAACTCGTCCGGGCAAACTTTCGGCTCTGGCTTTACACTTTCTCTGGAGTGTTGAACATGAATATCAACTTCAATTACTGTAAATTGCCAATAAACAGGGATTCTGGGCATTTTCGAACTAACGGGGGAGTTGCAGCGACGATTTCGAATTTCCAAGCCTCGCTGCCGAAACAATCGCATGCCCTCCTCGCTGAAGAGCTGGTATCGAGGTGAGCCAAAGATGGCGAAGGGGACTAAATAGACGGGTGGCCTAAAATTCCAAAGTGATTTTTCTTTTACTGAGGCGAATTATCCGTATAAATTTGGAGAGAGGTCAAAGAAAGTCCGCCATCATAATCTGATAAGAGCTAGATTCTCGGTTTAATCCGCACTCTGTGACTAATGTTGAACTTCAGGTTAAGTACGCAGTTAATTATGCCACCTTTTACACCTTTCACTCTCTTCTATGTTCAGATATTCGAACTAATCGCTTGAGGCCTCCCTCAGGTCCGTGATGTGAGAATGAAAAAAGAGAGCACCGCTACCGTCTGGTTTACGCAGGTCATGTTCGAAATGGTTTTGACTACCTCCGCTGTTTGCGTTTGGCAGTATTTCATTTTTGTCTACGGATTGTAATCTTTTGGAATCTTGTGCTTTTGCAATGCCACCATTTTAGATGTGAGGATATCTTCCGAAAGTTTTCCATTCACAGAAGAACCCATTTTTTCCGCTTACACTTCCTATAGTACTAATGAAGTTCAGATGACATCGGCAGGACTGGCACCCTTCATAAGTCCCACCAATTAGGTGACAACTCTAGGATGCACAAAATTTTGTTTACAATATTTTCGAAGATCAGCAGAGTGTGCTCATCAGTCGGAATGGGCGATACGTTGTACAGTCTGCGATGTCGCTTTTATTCTCTAGTGTGGAATTGTGCTGCTTGTTGACCTTTGGGGTATGCTCTTAGATTTGATGGCTGATGGAAGAAAACCATAAATTTCGTTTGGCCTGAACTTCATTGCAACTTTATTTACTGCTACTCTTGATATTTGATAAGTTGTACTTTCTATTAACCTTGCTTAAGCTAGATACTTTCTTGTGTCCTTAATTTGTAAATACATTAATTATAATTGGGACGACATTGACAGAGAATGTAAGGATGCAATAGTGAGGGAAGCAGTTACGAAAAGAAGAAAGGAAAGGAAATGTAGGAGCCTAGAGGAGGCAATTACAAAGTTTTGATTAGTAAACTTAAATTATAATTTCATAGTTATTTGATGACTTATTGATTCTATTTGAATGTTATCTTATTAACTTATTGATTAATCATTGATTATCTTCTATGCACCAAAGGTAAAATTTACTCCT